TATGTATGTATGTATGTATGTATGTATGTATGTATGTATGTATGTATCCATCTACAGGGACAAGGGGGGGTGAAAACCCCCTGTTAAAGCCAGCACCAGATACAAATACTAACGCTAAATCAGTGGTTTGATATCGGATTTCACACCTTCAAGCTAATCACAGATCTATAGATCTATTAACTAGATAGATAAGAGAGTCTATCCACTACATATAATTAAATGTATTTATTTATTTGAATAGGGACAAAGCACATTAATGAACATCAGTCAAAAACAAATGTAAATATGCCGGATTATAGCTACAAAGCTAATTTTCATCCGTAGTCCCTAGGCAGGCAAATGCGTAAAAAATAACATATAATAAACAATATAAGCATCAAAAGTAAATGTTTAGATTTTATTGGTCACATGACTGGTTTGCTTTCATCCAAGACATATACAGTCTATGCACTAAATAGACTCTGTATAAATCCATCTACTAAAGAATCTATCCACTAGATAAAATGTCTATCCACTAAATATAGTCTATCCACTAGATAAACTCTATATCTGTCTATCTACTAAATAAAGAATCTATCCACTTGATAGACTTTATATCTATCTACTAGATAGCCTATCCACTGGATAGTCTACTACATATAGAGTTTATCAACTAGACAGATTGAGATTCTCCATCTCTATCTGAGAGCGATAAACTCTGAGCTTTAGCTTCTAGTTTGTCCACCATTTATTGCTGTAATCACATCAAAAACAGCTCATTTCTATATTTAGAGAAGAATCAAAGCAGGAAAACATAAAAAAGGACCTCAAAAACATAGATAAACAAACAAGCCGAGTCTAAAAAAGTGCTAATAATAATAATAATAATAAAAAATGAAAACCCTCATTCTTTCCTCCTCATAAAGCTGTGAGTCTGATTTCCTGCTTTAGCTGGGAGTCTGCTCTCTGCCTCCATCTACTCGCTGGAGGCAGAAAAAAGCCACATCCAGCCCAAAACGGACATAAACCGGTCCAAAATAGAGCCAGACTAACCTAAACCAACCTAAAATGGACCAGAACCAACCCAAAACGGAGCAAAAATCTGACCCAAAACTGACCTAAAATGGTCTAATACTGACCCAAACTAAGCCAATCCAGCCCAAAACGGGAAAAAACTGACCAGAACTGACCCAAAATGGTCTAAAACTGACCCAAACTAAGCCAATCCAGACCAAAACGGAGCAAAACTGACCAGAATTGACCCAAAACTGACTCAAACTGGTCCAAAACTGAGCGGAAATTACCCAAAACGGACCTAAAATGCTCCAAAACGGACCCAAACTAAGGATCTTAGTACTGAATGCCCAATAACATAGTACATTTACACACTATAGGACCAGTTTGATAGAGGGGGTCCTTGGCCTGGAAAACTTTGAAGACCCCTGGACTAAACAACAGGAACAGAGGAGGAAACGGCTCAAAAACCTCCTTAAACGCTCATTAAGGAACGGTG